CTGTGCCATCGGGGCGCCTGCTCCAAGGACATAGGTTATAAATTTCCCTACATTGTCAGAAGGAGCCCTGGTTGTGTAGGAGGCTAAGCACTGGGCCCTTGATGGAAAGGTCAGCAAGAGCGAAGAGGCTTTCTACCGCCATAAAGACTTACAGTCTCAGAAAGGCCAGGGTGGTTCTGCCCTGTCCAGTAGGCTCCCTAAATTGAAATCAACTCCATGGCCCTGACCCTGAGCGTGAGAGTGAGACATTGTTTCAGGTAATCTCTCTTCCAGCAACACTGAAATCCCCATTTCCTCAAGGCAGCTAACTTCCGTTTGCATTATAAAGGAATCCGATTTTGAAAGCATTCTAATCTCTTGGGTCTCCTGGAGGCATTTACAAATTAAACTTGGGTTTAAAGGCAAAGTATCTCTAATCACCAGGATTTGCCAATGATTGAAGTCAGGAAAATGGATCTACTGGCCTTTCTGGCCCTGCTCTAAGGATAATCCTGTACTCGCTCCTGCTTTATCCAGAGCATTTGCTGTGTTCCTGCCTGAATTTCCAGGTGCCTTGTATGTAGCCTCTGACATGCACACTAACTACCAGAGTCAGTAACTCGTGGTTGGAGTGGAACTGGAAGATGCTGTGGAAAGGAGTTACCAAGGTCCACGTGTGGTATAAATGATTTGGGGTTCTTAGAGATACTTTTTAATTTGGGGGAATATATTCCTGTACAGTGACCCACTGATTTTTCTTGGTTACAGATTGGGCTTACGGATACTACAGGCAACAGAGAAAACTTGTTGAAGAGATCGGCTGGTCCTATACAGGTAAACCTATCCTGAGAGTCAGCAGAAAACTGTCATTGCCTTTGTATCTGTCTGTCTATCTATCGATTGATTGATCGATCTATCTGTCATCTATGTGCCATATATGTATAAGAAGACATTGTAGAATGCAGCACATTCTTTCCCCTTAGCTACATGAGACTTGGTTGTATTCCTGGGAGGAGGCTCAGAGTTTCAAGACTCTCCATGTCTCAGTTCTCTCCTACTCCCAAGAAAGATTTCAGGGAGGGACAACATTCAGACCACAGTCAAAGAAAAGGTTTGAAGAGCAAGAGTGTGCTGATTCAAGAGAGATACTTTAGAAAAGAAATCCAAAGGGTCCTTAGCTAGTCTAAAAGACCTGGGAAACAAAGCAGCACAATGGGGACCTTCCTGCCACAGGCTACTGAGTCCTCTGCTAAGGCCTGGTCCTCGCTAGTGTCCCTCCTCTTTTCAGGTACCCCAGAGCCCATGCTGTGCTTTTGTCTCAGACCTAAAACTCCAGAGTCTATTCGGTCATTTTGGAGGTTGTGTGAACATCTTATCTTTCTTCCCCCAGCTGTTTCCTTATCTACAATATCGCTGGTCTTTTCTATTGACTAGGAAATGTGCTTTATTCTGCTTTTCACCTACCTTTAGGAGCCCTGCTGGCACAGTGGTTAGGGACTGGGCTGCTCCCCACAAGGTCAGCAGTTCGAAACCACCAGTTGATCCTAGCTAGAAAGATGGGGCTTTCTACCCCCACAAAGAGTAACAATCTCCGAAACTCAGAGGGGCAGTTCTACCCTGTCTCCTAGGGTCACTATGAGTGGGCCTCCACTCGATGGCAGGGAATCTGAGGGGTTCTGTTTTGTTTTGTTGGAAAGAGGTGTCTCCAGGCTTTTGTGTTGAAGATTCCTGCTACTGTCCTTCCATCACACCTCTTCTCCCTTTGCTAGAGCCTCACTCGCTAACAGTTGAATTAATCAAAACACGCCAAGCGGGAAATGATCTCCAGTGAATTTTCTATCTGCATATCAGTATTGTAACCCTATTGACATCATACAGCATGTATTGGAATCCCAGGGGTATATTGGCTTTGAGTCTGGGAAAATGTCATAACTCTTGGAGGCTCAGTTTCCTCATAGCTTGTCAGAGTCCCAGGCTTGGCTTACCACGTCATAAATCTCTGATGTTGGCCTGATGCAAATATGTTTACCACTGGAGACCAAAAGCAGAAATGTTAGAGGACAGGAAAAGTCCTACATGAACTGTGACCGACTTTCTGGCCTTCTGTGATAGAGCTGAACAGCAAGGTTGAGAACAGGCTGCGTTGGCAAAATGGACTCTGATCAAATTGGACTCAATTTCATAAATGAGCAGTAGTGACATGGTGGCTTCTGTAGACAGACAGACATTATTCTGACTAA